TATTTTCAATTAAACTTTATTTTTATTAAATGCTGTCCCTGGCTGGAAGACCCAGCTGCTGAAAAGTGAGCTCTGTTGGCAGTGATTTACTACTGACTTAATCCAGCAGCAGTAAAATGATTATTTAAGTCTAATCTGAATGTAAAAAGTCATTTATTAACCATTGTACCCTAACTCATGTGGTTCAATATTCCACAGAGCACTTTTAACAAGTTTCCCAGTGTTGACAGTTTACCTTGCACATCTCTCCCCACACTGGCCCTGCTCTATTGACGATACGCTCACGCTTTGGCTGCCGTCCTAAAGATAATGCAGCCAAGAAATGTCATGTCAAGTTAATGCGGTCTGTAGAAATGCTTATTTATTCACATATTTGTCTTACCAAATAAGCAGCTCTCATGGCATGTTCCGGAGGGGCGCTCCTGGGCACTCAGATAAAGATGTCCACCAGGAGTACAGAAGGCAGAACCTGAGCAGGCTTTTGTTTGCTTCAAGGGATGTGATTGTGCCTTCACCTCCAAGCATAAAAGGTGATCATTCCCGGGCTTCCATCTTTTGTTTTCATGTCGAACATTAATAGCTTGTAGACAAAGTATTGGCAAGAAATCGTCAAGTTATGTAACATTTTTCTCACCTCCTCTACCCCCGTTTTAAAACTCGATGAATATTCAATTTCAACATCTGCCGTTTTGTTTGTCCAAAGCCAAAGTCTACTTGTGACATCTTCCCACCATTTTTCTTGAAATGCAAGTTCATTCTTTGTATATCCATATCTACATTCTCATGGTAGGATTATGGTCATTTCTGTATAGGCACATACATTAAAGTATTGTTAAAAACAGTTTCATTGTTAAAGGGAGAGTTGACTTTGAAATGAATTTTTGGTATGTTTTAGCTTACCTCAAGGGCATCCAAGATGTAGGTGTCTTTGTTCCCGCAGTAGTTTCAATTTTGATATTTTTAGGTCAAACCATTCTTGTCTGTCACTCATATAATGGAGGTCTATGGTCACCACCTCAAAGAGCATGCACAGAGAAGTCCAAATTAAACATGATTTAATGATTTGTAAATGTAAGTACACGTTGATGACCTAAGACACGAAACGAGCGGTTTGTGTGAGAAAACAAACAGTATTTATATTGTTTTTACCTCTTGTAACCACAGCTATGTCCAAGTGAGAGCACCGGAAAGGATTTCTCACACGGTTGCGGAAAAAAAATAAATAAATAAAAAAATAAAAATATATCATGCTCTTTGAGGTGGTGACCATAGACCTCCATTATATGACTGACAGACAAGAACGGTTTGACCTAAAAATATCAAAATTGAAACTACTGCAGAAACAAGGACACCTACATCTCTGAGGCCCTTGAGGTAAGCTAAAACATATCAAAAATTAATTTCAAAGTGAACTATCCCTTTAAGGTCCAGAAAAAAAAAAACCAACATTTTTTGTTTTTCAACATGTCCCAAGAGCACAGAATGTCTTCACATTACATGGGGTAAGTTGTCACAATGGAAACCTGCCATTTAACCTGCCATGTTACATACACATATGTATTATATATATATATATATATATATATATATATATATATATATATATATATATTCAACACAACTATTTTCAACATTGATAATTATAACATTGATAATAATAATGTTTCTTGAGCAGCAAATCAGCATAGAAAGATTTCTGAAGGATCATGTGACACTGAAGACTGGAGTAATGATGCTGTCAATTCAGCTTTGATCACCGCAATAAATTACATTTTAAAATATATTCATCTAGAAAACAGTTTTTAAATTGTAATACTATTTCACGATATGACTGTTTTTCATTGTTAATCAAATAAAAGCAGCCTTGGTGAGCATGAGACTTTTGAAAGGCAGTGTAGTAAATAAATAAATAAACAAACAAAAAACCCTTGTCCTTAGAACACAGATTTTTCATTTAAAATTCTTCAGTAACTCACAGTAGAAACTCTTATGATAACTAGCCCCGGTCTGTCCTAAATAAAAAAAGACTCAATGCATTCATCCATCCACCTTTATATTTGTGTCCGTCATTCTCTTTCAGATATGTAAAGCTATCCGGCTGTTTACCCACATTTTCAGCTGTCTCTCAGCGCCATGCTAATAGTCTTCCATTCTGCAGTGTTTGTCACCTGGAGTCTCTCTAACAAGCAGCAGCGAGCGACACTACAGACAGTCATTCACAATGAACAATCAAGCAAGGAAAAAACAAGAAAGACGGATATGTGAGTCTTTAATTAAGAGTCTTCACCGAAGCCTTTCTTAAATTCAATTAGAGACAGCTCTCGCGTCACTTTTAGAATGGATCTCACAGCTTCATTCTCAACCTCAGCACTTAGAGCTCATGTGCATCATCACTCCCACAGACTGTCTGTCAAATCCCCTTAAAACACTTACAATACCCACACCTCCTTCCTTAACCAGGACACAAGTGGAGGATCGAGATGGTGCTTAAGTGCTCTCAGAATCTGGGCTTTGAATTATTGATTTGGAATCAGCCTGCCGGGTTGTGGATTTGCTTCAGTTTCAACCAGTTTTCATTTTTTTCAAGTTATGATGCTGTAAAAATCTGCTTTGATCACAGGATATTAAACAAAATTAAAGTTTAAAATAACTGTTTTCTATTTCCTGTGATCAAAGCTGAATTTTGAGCATCGTCGTCAGTGACAAATGATCCTCCAGAATACATTTTAATTTGATGATTTGGTGGTCAAGAATTTTGGTGCTCATTTCTTAGTACTGTCAGTGTTGACTTGTGCTGCTTAAGGGCCTGTTCACATATCGCATCTTTTGCGCGCTCAAATAACGCAGCAACGCAGCTTTTGCATCTCAACTTTTCAGAAGCGTTTTCTACGCGTTTTTAGGCGCTATATGTAAATCTGGCCTAAAAAAGCATTGCAAAAGTTCTGAAATTTCTTACCGTTACTGACACCAGTGGCCGTTAGAGAAACTCCAGCCAGTCTCATGCTCGTTCTCAGTGCGCACGCTCACTGCCCGCACTAGTTAAGGCTTTAAAAAAAAAAAAAAAAACGTACAGGGAGTTTCCATGGCTATCTGGATTGACTGGAGGCTGGTCGCTTTTTTCCATCAGCAGAGTCCATTTGAAACACTACAAGTAGACGAGAACGCGCATGACGACATATTTGGTGAATTTTGACGCCAATTCGGACCCGACTCCTCCACACGCAATTGAGCCAACAGGCTGATAGAGGCAACCGTGGTGGACAGTCAACATTATGGTTGGCTCATAAATGTACAAATGAAGAGTCTGGCTGCAACCAAAATCACATACTATGTGAGTAGGTACTACATTTAAATGAGAACGTACTTTGCGACTGTTAAAAAAGTACGTTCTATATAGTATGAATACGGGTAGTATGAATGAGTCCGGACGTCTACATGCGCCATGTTGTTGTCGCGTGACATACGCTGTCACAACAGTGCGAAAATTTAAAGAGCCCATTCCAGTGACTGCACCAACGTCGCGCTGTTTTCATCTGCTTTTTTACGACGTCCACGTCTCCGGTTTCCGCCATTTTCCAATATAACGACAATAACTCCTCTCCGATGGCATCATGGTATAGTAAAGTGTCCATCATATGCGCACTTAAGAATTTCGCTGGAAATAGTAGGTCATCCGGGTACTTTTCAACAACTGTTTTTCGAATTCTATGATTTCGGACATACTACTCTGCTCACGTATTGTTTTTCGCATACTATATAATAGGGAAGTACTCGATTTTGGACGCAGCTTCTATCTTTAAGATTTTTTTTAAGTAAAAACCTACACTCTAAAAAATGCTGGGTTGTTTTAACCCAATTTTGGGTCAAATATGGACAAACCCGAAATGTTGGGTTAAAAATGTAATGTAAAAATTTAACCCAACGGCTGGGTTAGTCCATATTTGACCCAAAGTTGGGTTAAAACAACCCAGCATTTTTTAGAGTGTACATATAGCCCCTTTAATACATGTGTGGAAAGAGTGATTTTCTTCTTTTTTACTGTCATATTTTATTTATTTTAATGCCGAATATCAATATTTTTTTCTTTCCATGCGTGTGTGTGTGTGTATATATATGTATATATTCACAATTAGACTGCAGACCAATTTTATTTAGATACAACATTTTATTATTGTAAGTCTTAAATATGAACACACCATCGCCATTAAAGGAAAAACATATGACAAAACAATTTCTTTACAGTACAAGGAGTTAAAATACTTAATTTGTTGTCCTCTTGGGAACCATAGAGATCAGCGGAACAAAGTGAACTTATCCAGGCTGGTTGTTTTAATGGTTGAACATAAAAAAAGTCAATTCTTTGCACCAAGTTGGACATGTGAATTGCATTACAGCCATGCACAGACAAGCCCTGTGTTCCTGTTAATACAGTGCATTGATCCAAACGTCTTCCCCAGAGAAAATCAGACATTATTTATCAAGAGGTGCTTTCAAATTTAAATAGTGTGGATTTCTGCCTGTTGTCAGGTTAGTCTCACTAATCTGTTTATATAAGAAATATGTTGACTGTTCTTAGTCTGGTTGTGTTCCCTATATCTTTAAAAAAAAAAAAAAAAGATCAAATGAAAATTGAAATCATAATATTGAATAATACACCTTTAGGGCTAGAACACACACTGTCACCCATTAAACTTTGCACATTCATGACATTTCCTTTCATTAACATACACCTTGTGCTTAAAATCCACTGATTTGTATCTGATATGTGGTTTTAAAAATATGATATTTAAAGGGATAATTCATCCAAAAATGTAAACTGTCATCCTTTACTCATTCCAAACCTGCATCATTTCCAGAAATCGCTAAGTGAATGAGGACAGATGCTTGTAAGCTGCAAAAATGAATAGAAAAATAAATCATAAAAATGGTGCGTATGAATTGTGCACCACATTTCAATGATAGCTTGGTTTGCAGAACAACATTTACATTTTTAGTGGCTAAGTAAGGAATAGTTACTTATGATTAATCAGAATTCCATGGTCATTTTTTTTTTTTTTTTTTTTGACGGTGAATTAATGACAATTTTCATCTTTGGCTGAACTATTCCTTTAACCAGATTGGGGATGAAATGAAAACATTAGGCATAAATCCTAAAGATTCCAACAAAAGAGAAGAAAATCGAACACCGTAATACTGCGACGGTCAGTTTTTTTTTCTTTTCCCCCCTCCAGAATGTGGACGGTAACAGGACATCTGCTCATGATGAAATGATGACGGACAAATGAGTCTTATCTGCTTTTCCCAAAAGCACAATATTTAGACATCAGATTTCACACTCAGCTTGCATCTACTATAATACCCTTTGAGAAATAAATTACACAGCTTCTGAAAAAGGGAATAACAAAAAATAGAAAATGTGTTGCATTGTTTTAAACAGGTTCACAATTTTAGTAAAAACAAGTGTGCATATTTTCCCTTTGTACAAGTTAGATATATGCATATACACACACACACAGAGAAGTTAGCGGGAACGATTACGAGACATGTTTAAATAAAGAGCATTTAAGCGCCCGGTTTGGTTTGTACAACTCAAAATCTGGATTTTCAAGAAAAAAACTGCCATTGTAATTAAAAAAAACATTTGATGTCAAGTTTGTCTGGAAAAAAAAACAACTTTACAGCTAAAAATCGACAGATATTAGCAGATTGCTCTTTAGGCTCTCATAACGGATCCAATAACTTGAAAGCTCCAAATGTAACATGTTTCAACCTTGATTCATATATTGTCATCCCATATATACTAACATTACTCATCATTTGTGGTGTAAACAGAAAGAATTATAGAGCTTTTGGTTCTGCATAGTCCAACTGTGTCATTCTGTTCGTCAAAACAATCGAAATAAAACCTGGTGTGTATCGCATTGTTTTCGGTTTGGTGAGTGTTAAATGCTAAAATGCAGATTAGAAGTACTCGAAACGAAACACGATGTGATTATTACAGAGCAAAAACGTGTGATTGTGTCTTTTTTGCTGCGTTTTTTTGATTTTGCTGTATAGTAAAAAAACAGTGACGATTCAAAATAAAATGGTCCCTTTCTTATCGCATGCCTTTGACTTGAATTATTCCCCTACCACACTGTATTCTATATGAATTCTTAAGAAGTTACAGAGTTAAATTAAAATGACAGTCACAAAAATAAATAAAATGTAATATTTCAAATTAGACATGCCTCTCTCTGCCATTTGCTTTCACGGAATACAAAACTGTATTCGCTTGGGGCAAAACAGTGTGATGATTAGCAATGTAAGAGAAGTTACATTATTAAACTCTATAATAAACACAAGAAATGCATGATTACTTCATTAAAAGGAAGTACTTGGGTACCCCATGCACATTTCCAGGCATTTTTGGTAACCCATGCACGATTTGTGACTCCAGGACGAGAGCGATGTCACACAAACAGTGATTTTTCTGCACTGAAAACATCTTCGGCATCAAAACTTGAGCAAGAGATGTAGAAGTACGATGAGAAGTAGACAGGTGGGTGTGAAGACCGTAGACGTGCCGCTGTTTCCATCTTGAACTGCTCCGGGTCCTAAAGCATTGAAGAGAGTCACACGTGTCAGGAAACACAGCCCCGGTCTCCAACTGTGCTGTAAACTGCCTCGCTTTTATTCTTGAGACTGTCTATAACGTCCTGAACTCTCACCTACGCATCTGCACTTTTGATTCTATCTTCCTTCCTCAATAGCTACTATCTTTTCTTATTTTGGAAAGGTGTCAGCTGTCAGCATTTTCTAGGTTTACTGCACTAAACAGTTATTTTCTAGTCAAGCAATTCTTGTTAAAATCTATGTTAGTATGTTATAGCAACTCCTCTTTGTTGATGAGTTTGTAGTGATTGGTAGTCCAGTAGTAGCTTGAGTATCACAAACCTTCCAAAAAATCATTGTTTTCAAAGGCTGTGTGCTCTAAATTGGATGAAGTCATTTCTAAAACAGAAGCCGTCTCCACTAAAAGACAGATTACATAAAACACTTTATAGGTATACAGAACATACAATTTGAACTCAAAATTATTAAAGGGATAGTTCAATTTGAAATTCATTTTTGGCATGTTTTAGCTTACCTCAAGGGCATCCGAGATGTAGGTGTCTTTGTTTCGGCAGTAGTTTCAATTTTGATATTTTTAGGTCAAACCGTTCTTGTCTATCAATCATATAATGGAGGTCTATGGTCACCACCTCAAAGAGCATGCACAGAGAAGTCCAAATTAAACATGATTCAATGACTCGTAAATGTAAGTACACATTGATGGCCTAAGACACGAAACAAGCGGTTTGTGTGAGAAAACGAACAGTATTTAAATTGTTTTTACCTCTTGTAACGCAGATCACGTTTAGCAGTCCCTCCAGAAAAACGCGATTATGCGATCGCTGAATTCAATGCAAAATCAGCCAAAGTCCGCATATTTATGCAGGGGCCACATTTTTTCAAATACGCCGCACTTTTGCCGCATAATATGCCGATTTCCGTGCAAAATATGCGGGGTTTGCATAATTTCATAATCCTCGCATTTTCGTTGCAAGTCATATGTATCTTAGCAGAAACTTGAAAAATGTTGCGTTTGCTTCACACAAGAGCAGCCATTTCCCCCTGTTTCCATGGGAACGTTATGAAGTGACGCAATTACGCGACGCCAGACAGACTCACGGAGGCGATTGACATCTCACAAATCGAACTCGTATAACTGTCTGTCACATGTTCTACCGTCACATCGTTACTTAATAAACAACATAAGATAAAAGAAGTAGCATCAAACAGAAATTACCCGCACACACGGGGCGTTCGAGGCGCACATATAACACTGCAGAGAGCTCTTAAAGGGGCCACACCTTATTTACACTCGTTACAGTCTGAAATAAAACAAGATGAGAAATTAAATATTCCCAGCACTTTCTATGATGTAGTATGCTTGCTTATCAAAGGAAGTAATAAGAAATTACTCTTACATTAGCCTAGTGAGAACAGGATGTTGGGGGAATCACTTTTTTTCTCTTTTTCATCAAACCGCAATTTTTGCAAGTTCCCTCAATTTTTGCAAATTCCTGCAATTTCATCGCATAAAATTGCATAAATATCCCGCATATTCCATCGCATTTTTAAAGAAAACGGGCCGCGTAATCAATAAATTTTTGCCCTCAACAATCACAAAAAAAACTCTGCGTTTTTCTGGAAGGACTGAATACTATTATGGTAAATGTTATATATAAATCGCAAATTTTTTCACAAATTTTTGGAAATTACCACCACAAAATCAGTCATTTTGATCGCAAAAATCATAAAAAAAAATCGTGAAATCCTGGAGGGACTGGTTTAGGTACGGTTTGACCAAAAAATATCAAAATTGAAACTACTGCCGAAACAAAGACACCTACATCTTGGATGCCCTTGAGGTAAGCTAAAACATACCAAAAATTATTTTTAAAGTCAACTATCCCTTCATTCATCTCTGTATAACGGTTTAGCAGGAGACGTGTGGCTAGTTCTTGTCTTTGGTTTGTTACCTTGTCATCAGGTAGAGTTTTAGTCTTTGGGACAGTCAAACAATCTCATGAAACAAACAACAACTAACATGCGAAACATACTCTTTCTGACGTCCAGTTTCCATCTTTAGACATGTTCAGTGTTGAAATGTACAGTATGTGCGTATATTTATATTTAGGGGTTGCACCGACTAGTTAACAACATAGGGAGATCATTATTATTTTTCATTTAAACCATTCAAGCCAGACCGACCAATCACTCCATGGTTGTTAAGTGATGAAATATGTATCAGTGAAGGTGACACATCAGTGTGGTCCAGCTTCATTTAAAAACATAATAATAATTAAAGCATGCTTTATAGTTCATTTTCCAATGAAGAACTATATTGCTCACAATCCTCCTTGGATCTAACCATAAGTATGGTTACCATGGAAATGAGATCCATGGCAAAAAATCTCATTAATAACCACCCACTTCCATGAAGCACTGCGAAAGACTTAATGACTACACTGTTTTATTTTAAAAAGTACATTTTATACTTTAAACTATTGACATATATGTAATAATTTTCATGTATTAATAATTTTTTACTGTTAATGTGTGAGCATCTTGTAATGAAACTTAAAAAACAAGAGCTTCCCTGACCTCCTAGGTTGTCTGTGAAAGACTACATTTTTAGTGAATGAATCAAGTTTTTGCAGATGTCAATGTTGAAAATGCAAAGAAGTTGTATTAATTAAACCTATAGTCAGAGCATTCCCAGTAGTCAGTCAAGAGAATGACTGGGATGAAAACTTCCGAAACAAGACCACTGCAAAAAAATTGGCAGTCACAGACTGTAACATCATGTGCAAATTATGCACATAAAATACATTTTCAAGTATATTCTACCATGGTAATCCTACACACATTGCGCTGAACACTTTCCAGAATCTGTGTGAGGTGGAGATGGCAGAGGAGATACTCCACACATCATCTCATATATTCCTGTTATTGAATGTCTACACAGCAAAGACATTGCACATAACACAGTGGAGAAAACTTAACTTATTAAAATACTGCTGATTGCATGTGGCTGGTCATTTACATAATGCACAACACAGCTGACTAGCTCTGGGCAACAAGTCAATTAAAAAAAAAGTAGTCATGCAACCCCAAGTATACAAATATACACAAACAGATGTATTAGTTACATTTATTGAACAAGGTTTTTTTTTTTTTTTACACTCTTGGTGGAAACAGATATTTACAGAGCCCTTAAAAGGACATGGTTATGGGGGGAAAAATATGAGATGAGAGGAAAAGTTATACTTCAATGCTTTTGCATTCGCTCGCAAAGAACTCAAAAGTTTCTCAGGGAACACAAAAGCTGTTAATGGAGTAGTTCACTTTTTTTAAAAAAAACTTTTGCTGATAATTTACTCACCCCCATGTCATCCAAGATATCCATGTCATTCTTTCTTCAGTCGAAAATAAATTGATGAAAACATTCCAGGACTTTCTCCATATAATGGACTTCAATGGGAACCAAACGGTTCAAGGTCCAAATGAAAGTTTCAGTGCAGCTTCAAAGGGCTTTAAACGACACCAAACGATGAATAAGGGTTTTATATCTAGAGAAACAATCGCTCATTAAAAAAAATAAGTTTTATAAACACAAATGCCCGCCTTGCTCTGTTCTGTGATGCACGTTCGTGACTCTCCTGTTCAAACTCGTCCATCAAAATGAATGAATCTTTTTGTGTCATTTCGTTTGTTGAATGAACCAAATGACTAAAAAAAATGGTAATTTTGATGAACGAGTTCGAACAGGAGTCATGAACACACATCACAGAACAGAGCAAGGCGAGCATTTGTGTTTATAAACCTTAAACTTTTTTAATTATGTATTAAATGAGCGATCATTTCGCTTGATAAGAACCTTATTCATCGTCTGGAATTGTTTAAAGCCCTTTGAACAGTTTGAAGTGTGCACTGAAACTCTCTTTTGGACATTGAACCGTTTGGTTCCCAATGAAGTCCATTATATGGAGAAAATCCTGGAATGTTTTCATCAAAAACCTTAATTTCTTTTTAACTGAAGAAAGAAAGACATGGACATCTTGTTTGTTTTTTTTGTTTGTTTGTTTTTTAAAGTGAACTACTCCTTTAATGCTACAGGTATGTCAATGCTGCAAAAGCTTGGTATTTTTTTAAACCATCACCATATCCCTCTAGGAGCGCTGTAGACATTTGATTTCTTTCCCCTTTTGTTTCACATTTGGTGTGAAAGATCAGAGAGCACCAATATTCAGTCCCAACAAAACAATCGTTGTGTCATGGCATTAGTATGGCTGTCTATTAAATCCTTCTCTTTGATGGGCCGTTTAGACTGAAGTCTAATTTCCCCTGGATTTAGGGGAGTACGGTACTTTCTTTAGGGACAGCTATCCAATTACTGTACAGCCACAGCTTAGAGTAAATCCTGCACAAGTGTAATTATACTAATGTGAGGTTCTCACAATCAAATTCAATGCAATTAATGAATCTCCGGAGAGGACATGGTTACCAATCCCACGCTTTTTTTTGGGTCAGACAGTGGAGAAAAGTTGGCCAGGACAAGATTTCTATTCTTGGCGGAGAAGAAAGAATAAAGGACAATACAAGGACAAATCAGTAACAACCATCAACAACATATGCAGGCAAGGAATGACCCCTTACAAAAAAAGTAGGAAAGACCAGAGTCAAATATAACACACTAGATGTCTTCAATCACAAACAATTTAGAGTTATATTTATTCAGCATAAGCTCAGTAAAGACTCTCAATGCCACAGAAATTAGCAATAGTTTGACAGAAAAATACAAATATGTTGAGGTTTTGGGGGAGTGTTTATATTTTTTGTATAATTATTTCACACTGTAAGTTAATACATGCAAATATTTAGCTCATTTTCACATTTTATCTCTCAACTATGCAAATCAAGTAAACCTTCTTCTGAAAAACTGTCTGACTGAATTTAAAATCTTTTAACCTTTAAAATATGTAATGCACATTGTTTCTGTCTGGGTGAAGGTAGTTCTTCAATTGGCAGATAAGAAGTATATTTTAGTAAAAAACATATCTCAAATAATGTAGCTCTAACTTTGACTGTTGCTTTAATCCAATTTTCTCCTACTGTGGCAGCACCATGGTACACTGAGTTGTTATATACTACGGTACTGTATGATTTATTTGCCATAAGCCATTGTGTATTAACGTGGTTATTATGACTAGGTAAGTCCATAACACTTTTTGTAAGGGGCAAATGTACATTTAAAGGAATAGTTCACCCCAAACAAAATAAAGATTCTGTCATCATTTCACCCTCATGTCATCCCAAACCTTAATGACATACTTTCTTCTGTGATACTACACATGGGCTGAAGCTTTCAGGTTTAAAAATAATTCAAAAGTACCATTAAAAGTATCACGGTGCATTTGTTCTGAAATCAAATGATAGATCTGCGTGAGAAACAGATAATATTCACCTCCAGTGAGCTGGTAATCGACCATTGTGTCAGGACCGAATCAGTCCAATTCAAATGAATCATTCAGGCTGATTTTGTGGATCGAATCCACTGAAAATCAAACTCAAAAGAATGATTCTTTCACGATTTGGGCATTACTAATGCTCTCAAACTATGGTTTGACTTCAGAAGTCTTGGACTACAGCACTTTTATGATGTTTTCATGGTGTTTTGCATCCTTTTTGAAGTTTGAAAGCTCCAGTCCCTTTCCATTGTAATTGCATGGGCTGGAGAACGACAATTTCTTTTCCTGCTACGTGGAACTAAGTATGAGTGCAAGTAAGTGATGACAATTTTCCTTTAAGTACATTTCTCATCAACTGAGTAATAATGAAGCACTCACAATTCCACAAACATCAAAAAACATCATGTGATGCAAACATGTACTTACAAACAGCGGATGAGAGCATGCATTGACATAATGAAGCCATGCCGTGGCGAAGGTTAGACAGGAAAGAAAGTGAAAGAAGAGAAAGAGAAACACGTTTAGGCTACAGAAAAACAGAGACTCATTCATCAACCCACAGTGACTGAAAGCAGAACGAGGCATGTCACTACCCTGCCAATCCCAGAGCAGCAATTGAGACTGTCACTCAATGTGCTGAATGTATTATTGATATTACAAAATGGGATTTTAAGCTAATAACCCCGTAATAGGAATAGCTAGTGGCCAATTTAAAATCGGACAATCACATTCTGTCAGACGAGGCACGACAATTATATCACCCTGTTCAAATCACGGAAAATATGTGCGTCAACCTCGCCGATAAACTTGAGTGTCATCTCGACAATTTGGCTTTGTCACATTGAGGTTGATGTGAAAATAACCATGTTTGCATCTTCTTTGTGTATTAAACGCACTGTAACATGCTTAAAGGAGGTGATCAGGACGCCACATTCCCATGCACACTACTAACCTTGCAATAGCGTTGAACTAGTGGGTTCAATTATTTCTACATCGACAAAAACAAACATAAAAACATGTATCATAAGCAAATGAAGGAGAATCCTGAGATGGAAATCTCAAAGATTAATAGTCACGCATAGAGTTGTCAAAAAGTACAGATTTCGGTACCAAGTTGGAACTGAAATTTAAAAATGTAACCTTTTCTAATCTTGACAAAACACAGGTCTGAGTCTCAAGGTCCTTTGTGACAGGTGATATTTGGACAGAAATGTATTAATTTGTTAAGGCCGAATGTATACAACTAAATTCAATGGATTGTATGGCACCCAGTGGCTATTTTTGGTACTGCGCTTAAACAAAATCTCATTTTTGTGATATTAACTTCAAATTTGGAACATAACTTGGTTGGATTTATGGATTTGATTTTATAGTATTTTTAGAGTAAAAAATATTTTGTAAAATTTTGTATATTCTATATAAAACAAAAAATATATAGTACAGCATATTTAATTTACTATAAATTAAAATTTCCATAACTTTTTCATACTTTCATTTTTTGAAGAGTTGGGTATTTATTCCAAAGCATTCTTGAATTACAACCATTTAAGTTTGAATAGTGCATTTTAACCCCATTCTCAAAAGGGGTTAAGTATCTGCTCAACAGCGCTCACCGACTGTAAAAAATATTTTCAAGATTTGTGATCACAACATATTTTCTTTTGTCAAATCAACTTTATAATAATTTATTTAGTTGAGATAACTTATTATTTTGAGTTTCTGATGATTAAATGAATCTCCTTCATTGTATTAACTCACTTTTTCCAGTTCAATCAACTTAAAATTAAGGCAACCCAGGTTACTTACTTTAAATTAAACCAACAATATTTTTTTACAGTGTAGTAATCACAACATTTTTTCTTTTGTCAAATCAACTTAAATAATTTATTAAGTTCAGATAACATATAATTTTGAGTTTCTGATGATTAAATCATTCTCCTTCATTGAATTAACTCACTTTTTCCAGTTCAATGAACTTAAAATTAAGGCAACCAGGTTACTTTTTTAAGTTAAACCATAATTTTTTTTTTTACAGTGTACCGACTTTTGACAGCCCTAATTGCACGGGTCAGAAACTACCAAGTGGAAATTCATTCTGTTTACAGGAACGTTATCAGCTGGAACTTTCATTTAGCTTTTTTTGAACAATAAGCAAAAAATGAAACATAACAATCTTCCGAACCACCGTTTGTACTTTTGAAGAGGCTCCAAACCGTTTTAAAACTTAATTAAAAAGCATCAACTAGCGACACTTACCGTATAGGACGATGCTTGTGTTAGCGCTCCCAAGTTTGTTGACAGCGACGCAGGAGTAATTGCCATAGTCTGCCTCGGACACGTTGAAGAAAGTCAGCTTTGAAACTGCTCCGTCATTCTCGATCTCAATGCCATCAAAGCCATTGAAGATCCTGGGAAACAGTCAGCAAATGGGGAAACTTGAATCAGCCCAGCCCTGTTTACGCTACATCAGAGCCTCCTTTGAAGCTTGAGGTTACATTTATGAAAACATCAACGTTTTTGGACGCAGATTGCGGCGGGCCTGGATACATTCAAAGGAGGCAAAACTGCAGGATTGAATTACTGGCAGCGGCATGCAGAGGGACATGCACACGCTCTCTTATGCACATTTAATTATGATAAAACATAGCGACAACTTATTCTTCACTTGACATCAAAGACAGTTTGAGAGAACCAACTGAGACACATCCAGCCAAAGGCACTCAAATGTGAAGTATTTTCCGATGAAAACAGTGAATTTATGACAGCACATTTAGTCAGACATGTAAAGCAACTGAAATACATTTGTCCTTCACCTCTTAGTGTCACTATCAATATCAATATTATAAAGACAGACATAGTGTACAGGAGATACGATAAACTCTAGTAACTAGCTGTTACTGAACATAAAACGGGGTCACAATCTATAGCAAACAATTTTTGGGTACAATGTACTTATTGTATTGAAAAAAGATGCAAGGAAAGGGTTAACATTATAATAATTGTATAATGTTTTTATAATTATAGACGTAACTACAGAAATTAATTTCAGATGTAATTAGATGCAGATATTTTTTTTTAAATATAAGTGCAATGTAAAGACTAATTTAAATGTTAGTACAGGTTAAATGTTAGTGGGATCGAAATTCAGTTTTGTTTTTCCATAAACGTCTAGGTTATGATTGTACCCTAAACAAAGGAACAGAAGAAGCAGGATATCCTGAAGTGATATGCCATACCTCCTGTCATCTCTGTACCACTCAAAATCTGCCTCGGGTACAGCATCTGCCTCACAAAGCAGGACACCTCTCTGACCCAGGGTCACGCCAACATCTCTGCCATCTGCAATACTGGGAGGGACTGGACACACAAAACCACAAGAAAGTTAGTGAACTTGGGATTAACAAGATTATTTACTGACAAGACAATTACTTAAATAAAGTACATTCAAAAGTTGTGAAACAAGTTATGATCTGCATAGTCTTCACTCTGTTTATAATAAATATATTTTCTTATTAAAGTTACAAAAGTGATTCAGTCAAAAGCAGTGAGAGATTTTCTATCTTTTGTTGTTGGATTAACAATAATGACAGATGGCAGCAGGTTTATTAGGCTGCCGTCACTTTAAGGCTGAACGATCCAATATACTGATCTCTACTTTTTTATGTTCACTTACTACATAATTTAATATGACAAGGATACACACAAAGACAGGCAACTTGACACATAAGCATGTGTATAAGCATTCAAGCCCAATAAGGTGGCAAAAAGAAATGAAATGAGTTGTCTTTTGCTGCTTATTGCATATTATAAAATTTGAAATCACTTGTTTCGAAACCGCAATGCTTAAAAACAAATGTAAATAAGATGCGTTGCCACGCAGCACAGCAATGTCATGTGAGGATCGATGGTCCAAAATCTCTACCAGTTGACATATTTCTACTGGCAAATCGTGTCTACCCATATATCGCCCAATCAGGATGTTTTTAGTTTGCATTTCAAGACATTTCATTACAACCTATATTATAATTTTACATTTATTTAATAAAATCCTAAAAGTTTCTGTTTATTTTTATAGGTTTAAATAAATCAACAAATAAATCAATGAATTCAGTCTTTTGGGCATACTATGTTGTATGCTGCATATATGTAGAATGTGTTGATATAAACTCATGAGACACTTACAGTTGACTGTGAGCTCAACAGTCTGTGTGTCCACTGCAATGTCGTTCGCTGCGGTGCATTCGTACACTCCTGCTCTATATCTGCTGATGAAGGGAATCTCCAGAACCTCATTGTCTGAGCTTAGGCTCTCATCTAAACAAGAAAACATTCAAATATGATGTTAAGATCAAGGATGCAAACTCATCATGGGTGAAAAAAAATTACAAAGACATGAGAAATGCTTGTTATGAGAGAGAGAAGAGAGAGAGAGAGGAGAGAGAGAGAGAGAGAGAGAGAGAGAGAGAGAAGAAGAGAGAGAGAGAGTGTGTGTTTTAGCTTACACTGTAAAAAAAAAAAGTAAGATTAAAATTTAGAGTAAAAATTTAAGAGTAAAATTTACTTAATTTTTTAAGGCAAGTTTTTGCACTGATACTTTGAGTAAATTTCACACATACTTAAACTATACTTAACTAAGTTAAGTGAAAATAACATTAAAGGATTAGTTCACTTTTGAAAAAACTTTTGCTGATAATTTACTCACCCCAATGTCATCCAAGATGTCCATGTCTTTCTTTCCTCAGTCGAAAAGAAATTTAGGTTTTTGATGAAAACATTCCAGGATTTTTCTCCATATAATGGACTTCAATGGGAACCGGATGGTTCAAGGTCCAAAAGACAGTTAATAACAGTTTCAGATGCAGCTTCAAATGTCTTTAAACGACACCAGACGATGAATAAGGGTCTTATCATGCGAAACGATCGGTTATTTCAAAACTTATTCTAAAAATGTAACTTTTCTAAGGACAAATGCTAGCCTTGCTATATTCTCTGAGGCGCGTTTGTAACGTCACTTAATACGTAATTACGTTTAAAAGGTCACGGGCGACGTAGCAGGAAGTACAGAATCAAAATCGTCCGACATCGTTGTTTTTCCTTTTAATTCCTTTTTTTGTAAACGGTGTTTGAGTTAGTTTGCACGTTCAACCTATGCGTTCAACTTGTAAACACTGACTCTGTACTTTCGGCTACGTCGCCCGTGACCTTTTGAACGTAATTACGTAATACGTGACGTTGCAAACACGCCTCACAGAATAGAGCAAGGCTAGCATTTGTCCTTAGAAAAGTTACATTTTTGGAATAAGTTTTGAAATAACTGATCGTTTTGCATGATAAGACCCTTATTCATCGTCTGATATCGTTTAAAGACATTTGAAGCTGCATCTGAAACTGTTATTAACTGTCTTTTGGACCTTAAACCATCCGGTTCCCATTGAAGTCCATTATATGGAGAAAAATCCTGGAATGTTTTCATCAAAAACCTAAATTTCTTTTCGACTGAGGAAAGAAAGACATGGACATCTTGGATGACATGGGGGTGAGTACATTATCAGCAAAGGTTTTTTCAAAAGTGAACTAATCCTTTAAGTCACATTTATTTATCTAATTTGAGGTTAATTAAGTTTTCTTTGTACAACATTTCACTCAAACAATATAACATTGAATTAGACCACACATTTGATTATATGATTTACTCAGAAATGTTTAGTAATCAATACATATAGTGTGTATCACCATATAATCAATTCTGAAGTTATATGTGTAAACGCAGACCTCAATACTTGGTAGACAATACACAATGACGGTAACACTTGCATGCGTCTCATTATCACTGAAAAGCTGGAATATTTCTCATTTTTTTAAGTACCGTCACATCCATACTTTTCTTGGGTACAATATGCCACACTGTAGAGCATGTTGATGCCCTTCTATGCAAATTCAAACCTCATCTTCTCTGAAATACTGATGCTCTGATGTATTTTTAGTCATTTGTGTCCTGTTGTGGGAGAGAAGACACTAGAGATGTGAAATTCGATTCAAATATGAGTCTCTGTCTCTGTGCAGCTGCTTTGAAGTGTTCACATACACACTGGAGTCAAACTGCTAAAAACACACGCCACCTTTTCATGTTCATGAAATCCAGACAGGGGAAAAAACGTTAGTGGAAAGGGATCCTTGTGATGCAGTTCTCAACGTCAAGCGGTAATATTTGGTTGGCTTAAATAAATAAATATCATCCCCAATGTAGTTTCTGACAGCAAAATAACACACCGCTTTCACTTAAGTATGTTCTGAAAGACAATGTCTTACACCTGGGAGAGGCTGTTAACGAGAAAGAAAGAGGCACTTCCTTTAACCCGATGAGGAGTGTCAACCGAGCGCTTGGGAGAAAGAAGCTCATTACCGTTCAACACGGTACACACCTCGTTGCACTGAAGAGCAGCTTGGCAAGGGCCTTGTATAATTGTATTGTTTTATTGTTTAAAAGTGTTTGATTTTAAATTCAAACTACTTCAAAATGAGCCAATTAAACCCAAACTTTTAAATGGAACAAGCCACAAGCGAGCACAGGAATAGTTTAATCTTCATTCAAGATGCTCATTTTGATGTTTCCCAGCTGCAAAGGACTGGGAAAGCAAACCCTCGGCATTGATACCCGGTAAATGTGGTGCTTTGGCATCAGGTGCATTGTGGACTCTCTTCCATCAAAGGGAAGATTGACAAAATGGGACCGTTTATTTCCATCAGGGTCACTGGGTTTCATGGCTGCCATGGAGGATTGTATCAACGCAAAGTACTTGAAGACTGACATCTCAAGCTTTTTTCTTCATCAATACACTCCCGAAGCACATTCATTACGCATTTCTTATGTAATGCAACAACTTTTGTATATGCATGGCCTCTAATGGCATTATAAGCATCAGTCAATATGCCCAGGGTTGATGTGCGATATTATCAGTAGTTAAAAATGAAATCAAATGCCTCTAGAGCTGATGTGGTACAACGATCGTCCTGGGTGTCATCAAAAATAGAACAAGAGCCAAACATCTCTGTTAATGGAGAAACTAAGCCCAGAGAAGTTAAACAGGCTGGCCTCCACAGTCACATCCTTGGATAGCTTACTCACTGATATTGCACAAAAATGAATCACCAGTTTGTAACGTCGACCAGAGTTCGTCGACCAGAGTGCCCAGATGAAAAAAAAAAAATCCATATAGACGGTAGAGTTGGTAATCTTTATAGCTTCAGATGAACCCTGCACTCTCCACATTCACTAAAGAGAGTGGGGTGAAAATACAACAGGAACACTCTGGCAGAATTACAAATAAACAGAATAAAAGAGTCGGGATGCTTTCTTGAGCATTTAGTAGAGACTCTCTACATAGACACTCCTAAATAATGCAGGCCCTTATATATGAAATTAGGTACCTGTTACAAGCTTCAGTACAATCAAAAGCACACAATTCTTTGTCACGTTAGGACCATCACATCTTATGCAAAATATTTAGTTTTGGCTGAGGCACTTAGTAACAAATTGAAGCAGATATCCAAAGACAGAATTAGATTGAGTTATTAAACAACATGTACTTAAAGGTATAGATCATATTTTTTGGTCAATATAAAGGATATGCACTAGTAGTAGATATGCCTCTCTTATAGGCACTTGAAGTGCATTTAGATATGCACTCTAAGTAGGTTTGAGTGTGTGTTGTTATGCTCACTGAGTGGCAAAAAGACATTGGTTTTCTGTGTGAATGCCGCGGAAAACATACAACACACTATAATGGGAAAAAGCTTTTGAGATTGACTGTTCAAAGAGATTTAACAATAAATGTGGGGTATATTTCTACACAGCTAAAGAAAAGAGAAGATAATGGATCGCTGCAATTCACAGAAACAACTGGACACCAGAAAGCGAAACATGGATTTGAGGTTATCATTTTGTGTAAATATGTTGTATTTTGCAGTAAAATCATACCCTATATATTGTATTGTTATATATTGTATTGAGTAAACAGGCTGAGCAGTGATGGGAAAGTTCACTTTCTACATGAACTAGTTCAAAGTTCAGTTCACACATTTTAAAAAGAACTAGTTCAGTTCATAGTTCATACTTCAAAAAATTAACTAGTTCATTCATAGTTCTTTTTTTCCATATGTTGCGATCTTTTTTTTAAATTAGTGTTATTGCCACAGCCCATATACAACCACAGACAACAATTATTTTATCGACGGGCAGTTTGCGAAGAAATGTAAGATTTTTCCCATCTCACCAACCTCATCATAAAACCCGTTTAAATGAGTATACGACTGGTGGCTGGTGTTGCCAGATTGGGTGTTTTTAAACTACATATTTTACGCTAGTTTTAGCCGGGTTTTCACCTGGAAGGCTTTATGGAAATCTGGCACCCGACTGAACGAAGTTAAACCGAGAGAGCGTTCATTGAACACGTTCAGGCTTCACGTTCAGTGACGTCAATGCATATCCTCTATAATGCAAGTCAAAGGACTCCCACCCCCTTAAATTATTTACATTTTTTTTTTTTTTTACTACAATAAAACTAAGCTGGACCAGATTTTATATTGATATTCAAAAGTATGACTATACTAGATAACAGGTAAATTGAATCTCTAATCTTCATAACATTAAAATCATAGTTTACAACTACTGGAATGTCCTAAAGTAGCTCAGCCCAGTATGAGTGTAAAGTACTGCAGCAAAGCAGAGAGCAAGCCACCAATACTGCAGAGCTGTTGCACACACACACACACGTACACACACGTACACAGAAGGAAAGCAGAGCTGGACAAGGTGCTGAATCAACCCAGGCACAGCTGAATGTGTCATCTTACGAGGGACAGGTTCTCTGTCTGATCCCTCCAGACAGCAGGAACGCCATTAACCGCACCATATGATTTCCTTAGCTTGTCTTCTGAATGCGAACCAAACAGATTTGCTTAAATCAGAGGTCACTTTCGGTGGATGATACACCTTACTATGACAATCTATATCCATGTCGACATGCAGATTCTCAGTTATAGAAGATGTAGCTGCTTAATAATTTAGGAAACAAAAGGTGTATTAACTGACACAAGACTTGACTAGCACAAAGCCTTATCTACTTGAAAAAAACAAACATGGATAGAGTGAGTCACACATATGCCTTGCAGATATTTATTGCCTTTATTCAGCTGAGATTCTTGTCAGTAAAAATAATGCAGTTTGACAGGCTTGCTTTGATTCCAGCCATCACATATCATCCAGTCTTTGGTTCTTTGACTTAAAAATGCTAAGTGAAAGCCACATCTGTTAC